TTACTTTTGAAAAAGCATGTGTATGTACAGGTAGTTGTGATTGTAGCTCACATCTTCCCTTGGTTTTATGTCCAAGAACGGCTGAAATGCCCTCTATGTGTTGAGGATAGGCTTCCCATCCAGTTTTCTTAAAAACTGGCAAACAAGGTCTTTTTTAGTCAGATTCCCAAGACTATGTCAAGCATGTTCTTTATGAAAATGGGTTTATAAGTCATGAATTGCATAATGCTTATCTTGACTATGATGAGACTTAAGAGTCAATAGAAGATTATCTAAAGACTCCTTACTCAGGCCATCCTTAATGAATTGTATTTTATCTTCACGGTTTATAGATAACATTCCTAAAGAACGGCATTGTGTATTACAAGTCCATCTAGCACATCGATGACAGACTTTTAGTCGTTTTGCACGATGTTTCTTTGCAAAAGTGTTTTTACCTGTTCCAGGCATGTGTGAAATGAAGGAGTTAGAGGACTCACTTGATAATCGAACCTTTGCTTCAATCAACCAACGAATATCTTCAGGAATTCCATGATTCATTAACAATCTCAATCTTGCACATCTAGCACGGTAAATTTTTGTAATCGCATTTTGAGGCAAAGCGGGAAAATACTTTTTCAACTTTTCAAGATTAGTGTCCATTTTCAAATGAGAATTGGAAGAGAGATTCAAAGAATTGCACAAATATATACACAGATATCAATTATTATGGGAAACTGAAAGAACCGACTTAAGTCACGGAGTACCGTTGTCCGCCATTTGACCGAGGTGAGAGAAACTAGCAAAAATCACTCAAAAAGAAACATAAAAACAATGTAAGAAAACAACATAATTAACCTTTATCTACAAGATCATTCAAACTAGTTGATTCATTTTCACTAGGAAAATTATCAAAGTAAGCTTTCAAACGATGTCCATTTTCCTTAAAAACATTGTCATTCATTGAATTCTCAATATCACAGGCCTCATAAGGATTGTTCCATCTTGATCTTAGCTCTCTAGGGAATGAATAGAGTTGAGAATTATAAAACAAAATTTTTTGACTAGTGTCAACTTTTTGACAATTTTCACAAGTTTTGCAGAATGCATGCGTGTCCTTGAACATGGTGGGCTAATAAAATCCATTTTGAAAGATTTTTATAGCTATCTTTTTTAACAAGAAATAACTTCCATATGCTTCAGAATGACAAAGTTTAATGACACTACTTACCTCATTATCGGGAATGAATATTTGAAATATTTGATCAGGACAATATTTGAATAAGTTAGGGTCATCACAATAAAAGTTCTTCACTTTGTTCAAAAACTTTTCTTTGTCTTGAGTACTCCAATCAGCTGGCAAATCTCCTAAAGCAAGAAAATTGATATTTTTATCATACCAAGGCATTGGACTAAGAGAAAGTAAGGATTCGTTAGGAAAGTAATCATCGATTGATGTGATATCAGATGTTGAATTTGTTATCATTGTTGACAAAAGATTCACATCAACATTTTCGGTGCTTTTTTCATCCATGATTTTTCCTCAGAATAAATCATTTACAAATCTTCAGATTCATCCAACTCATTTTTACTTAAAGTAGATTCAAGTTGATCATAAACTAATTCTTCAATATGATCTACTTCTTGTAAATCATTATCTTCTCCAGGTTGTTCGTAAATGTTGAAAATATTCATCTCCAATGTCATGTTTCCAAATGATAGCTTCATCAGTCCATTCCTACAATTAATCAATGCATTAGAAGTTGCAAGAAACGGACGTCCTAAAATAACAAGAAATGAATTACATGCTTCAACAGGTTCTGTGTCCAAGACAATAAAATCCACAAGATAAATGAATTTATCGACTTGTACTAACACATCTTTAATTATTATTCTTGTCACTTTTACAAATCTATCGGCAAGTAAAAGAGATATAGAAGTTGGTTTTAACTCACCTAGATTGAGACTTTGAAAAACTGAATATGGAAATAAATTCACATTAGCACCGAGATCAACTAAAGCTCTTTTAATTTTATGCTCTCCAATAAAGCAAGAAATTATAGGACAACCAGGGTCTTTATATTTCAAAACATTATTGTTCTGAAGAATAACACTTACTTGTTCGGCTAAAAAGGCTTTCTTTTTCACATTTAGTTTCCTCTTCACAATGCATAGATCTTTCAAAAATTTAGCATAGGAAGGAATCTGTTTAATAGCATCCAGCAAAGGTATATTGATTCTTACCTATTTGAAAGTTTCAAAGATTTCAGAGTTGTGACTGACTTTTCTTTGTTTCGTCATGGCATGAGGAAATGGAAGTGTTGGTAGGTAATCAGTCGTTTCTTTGCAATTTTCATATTCAACCCCTTCCTTACCCTCAGAGATTGACTCATCATCTTTCTCATAAGGTTCAAGAGAGGGTTTTTCAATAACCTTACCACTGCGAAGAGTAGTGATTGATTTGACTTGATCCATGTGTTGGCTTTTGGAACTACTAGCATTTGCATTGTATTGCCCCTTGAGATTTTGTTGTGGTTGAGATGGAAACTTACCTTTCTCTTGGAAACTGAGAGCAGATGTTAATTTTGCAAGAGTATCTTTAAAATCTGTCATGTTTTGAGCAAGTTGAGTATTGATTGTCTCTTGCTTTTTAATGAATGCATGCAATGTTTCCTCAAGATTTCTTCTAGGAGGTGGAGCATAAGGAGGTGCATATCCATGAGAATTTTGGAAATTATGGTGTGCTTGAAATGGTGGTTGTGAAGTTTGTGCATTGTTGTTCTCACTCTTCCAACTAAAATTTGGATGATTTCTACAACCAGAGTTGTATGTTTGTGAGTATGGGTTGTGGTTGGCCCTTTGGAAACTGTTTAAAGCATGGGCTTGTTCATCGAGACATTCTTTAAAAGAAGGCAAGGTTGGACAAGAATTGAATAAGTGTTCATTTGTTTCACATATTTGACACACAATGTTTTCAACAGATTTTAATTGACCACTCTTTTTCAATTCTAGTGCCTCGACTTTTCTAGCTAAAGATGCAAACTTGGCTTGAAGGTCATGATCTTCCCTAAGGTTGTACATACCTCCATTAGATGTATGAGGTTGAGTTTTACTCGGTGCCTCATAAGTACCCACGGTGTCCCAATTTTGAGCATTTTCAGCTAATAAGTCTAAGTACTCCATTGCTTCAACCATTCTCATGGTCTCCCCTAAGACTGACCTCTTTTCCAAATGAACCGAACCTTGATCCACATTCATCAAAGAGAGACGACCATCTCTCTAGGTTGCACACGCCCCTCATTTGCCCTTTACTAGAAGGTAAGGCAAAAAGCAAAAGCAGCTTAAGCCCTTACGATCACCCGAGAAGCCCTCAAGCCTATAATATTTATTCTAATATAAATATATCTTTTTAAGTATGACTAATCTGACGAAGAATCGTAGTTCCTACACCTTGTGTGGCGTCTCCCAGTCCAACACGGCTTGCACGCATCTTCTTTTGATCCAATCAACTCATGTCATCGTCAATCCAGTGCCCAAGGAACTAGACCTTATGCAAAGCACCTTTTTCACATAGAGCTGATTTTCCCTTATGATCTAGAATTGGTCATAGTCTGCCAAGAGGGCAACAAAGCTCCTTGCCTGACTTCCCGACGAAAGTCGAGCTATAGTATGAGCCTGTATGCATGGGTGCTTTCTGTCGCACCCGACATCGCGACGGCTTTAAAAATCTATTAAATTTTTGGAAAGAACAGATTTCTGGCATCCAATTCTTTAATGAGGATATTCTTTGCTTAAGGAGTCGCCACCTAGTATTATGGTTACTAGGAACCCTAACTGGTCAATAGAGATTACATGGTCCGAGATTGGTTACATAAAAGGAAAGATATTATTACCCCTTAAACATCCTACCTAAGGCAGGCTGCATTGCTGATCTTTGTCCTTAATTGCTAACACTTTTTGTTTTGTTGGTTTATACTATGATTGTTTGTGTGTAATATTCCTGACTCTAGCGCCAGTGAATATTCAACTACGGATATTTCCAACTCTAGTGTTGGTAAATATTACATAGGTATCAAAATAAATAAATTTAAATCATCTTTTTTTCCTTTTATTCCTGACTCTGGCGTCAGTGAATAAATAAATAAAAGTAATTTTTTTTTAGCAGTTTTTTTCTAGATAAATAAAATAAAATACAATGAATACAAATAATATAAATTTAAATCGGTATTTTTATTTCTGACTCTGGCGTCAGTGAATAAACCAATAAATTTATATTATTTTTATTCAAGACCTTACTTGTTCCAGGATGGACGTAGTTCAGTTGACGTATGAGTTGTGGAGGATGGTATTATGTCCGATCTAAAAAGAATGGGGTTTTTAGGATGGGAATGATAAAAAGGGGAGTCGGGTCAGCTAGATTCGGGATGGGATCGACTAATGAATATGGTGTAATAGGTGGGATAAAAGATGTTCTTATCGTGCATCGCTAGCTGCCGCCTCATAGTAGTGATACGCGTTGGGCGCAAGGAAAGACCCCACTCTAACTCCCCTCATTGCTCTAGCCAGACCGGGAGAAACTTTTAATTGGGGGTAGTGGCCCCAGACGAGGGATAGATGGGCAACTAGGTAATATAGAAGGTCGACCCAACCGAATCTGTTCGATTCCATCAATCACTCCGTTGGGACGGGAACATGTATCCCTCCCAACCAAAAATCTTTTTGTCTAAATCAGCTTTCGGCCTATCGATTTAACCGGGAGCTGCTGTTGAGCACTCTATCCATCACCGGATTCCCTATGCGCTGATTGATGCTTCCTCTCCGACTCGATGAGACCACACTACTGAGTGAGCTTCTTTCTGGCGCTCTTCCTAGGATTCCTAATGCCTCTTGCTTCAACACAGAATAAGGTCTTTTCTCGGCCACTTTGTCATGAAATGAAAGCACAGTGAGTGAGTCTTCTTTCCGAGTCGAGTACTAGGCAGTCAATGTAGAGTTCACTTCATTTGTCAGACTCCCGGTACCGAAGCAAAGTACTCATCCGAAAAGACGGTTTGATCATGCCCTTTGTCCTCAACCCATGGTTCTCCTATATCTCCTAACTTTCGCTTTGCTTTCTCTTGAGCCCGCATTTCGTGTTTTTTAAGATCTTTAGAGGTGAACCCACATAGTGGAGCCTTCGTGTACCAATTTCAGTGGTTGAGTTTCGCACTCCCGTCATCTTCCTCTTCTTTTTGGAATATCCCAAATAGTCATCAGAAACAAGCTAGCCGAGCATTGATTTGGGTGTGGGTGGGGTATGGTGCCCCAACGGATGGATCTCCATCAACATGGGATTTTTCCGAGGGGATCAATGTCTGGTCGAACCAAGCTTCCTTCTCTCTCTCTTGCTTCCCCACCTGTGACTGAAGCTTCCACATGAACTTGACTTTCCTATCTGAGTAGACCAAAAGTTCTACTTTTTAGGAGGGACATTAAAAAGGTAGCTTTCTCCCTGGTCGATCAGTCGTTCAATCCTTTCCTCTTGATCAAATGCATTTCTAAAAGATTCTCACAACACAATGGACTCCAATACTGAACTGAGACGGACCCAGACCCCCTACCGAAAGGGCTCTGTACCTATATGTTCTTTATCTCAAGCGATAGCTTTCAAGTGCCCGACCCTCTTCCCTTGATCAATGAGTGAGAAAGCAAGAGCCAGTCAGAGAGTCACCATAGCCAAGTGATGTTTTCAGGTGGTTCAATCTAGAAGTGGGACGAAAAGAAGAGCTGTTGTAGAATAGTCTTAATCCTGTCTACCTTGAGATTGCCCCTATCTATCAACGGGGGACCCCCCGAAAGGCGAATAGGAAGCTTCAAGCGATCTGGGATCCCACCTTTGATCGAGATGAAGGTGTAGTTTTCACTAGGAATCCTAAGGTTGCCGATCAGGTGAAGTCTTAGTTTCTAGGCACAAAGCATTCCCTCTTCACTTCCCGTTCTATTTCTTTCTTTCCCTCGAGCCGGGAACCCCTAGATCAGCTAATTCGTAACTTCCTTCGCTGCCTTTCGAGTGCATCAGATTCTATGCATTTTATTCCCCAATTGCGGATTCTCTTGCAGCGGAATGCCTCTATCTACGTCAATTTATGATTCAAAAGGCTAGGTCGATGAAAGCATCTCAAATACAACCAACTTTCACTGCCAACCTTTCTTTTCACTATCTGGTATCACAGCCTATTCCGCTTAATTAAATAAAGGGATCCATGTCATTTCCCTCAAAATCTCGCTACCTTGCGCCGTGATCCACTACTTATTTGTCTTTTAACGTATGAGAGAGCCCGGGGAAAGAAAAAAAAGGACCGCCTTTGAAAAAAAAAGGAACTCGTTTAACTCGCTAGGCCTTCGGAACACCAATCGGGATTTATTGCTAAAAAGTGAGTTTGTTTGGATTGAAGAATGTAGGCGATACGTACTAATCTAATGCATGATGTATACTATCTGTCGACCTGACGAGTCACGACTAATCATCGGGGGACGATTAATTCAACTTGCAGAAAGTCAGCACGCAAAAGGTTGCATGAGTGTGGGTGTAAGTGTGAGTGTCGTTTGGGTAGAGACCCAGGTTTAGACATGTCTATACATCGTCTAGGGGAACACGATGACAAGACTTGTATCTGGATGTGCAATAGTATCATCTGGAGAGGCTTTAGTGATGTGATTAAGTTTTAATCAATCATATTAATTAAGGTAAGGAAGGTAAGGGTCTAGAGCATTTTTCACTAAGTCCATGGATCAATGTCTAGGTATCATTAAGTATAGCCTTACGGCTTGGATACGTCTTGCGTTGTTGTCCTCGGCTTTGGTAACCCTACTTCCCTTCTGTCTTCGACCTTGTCCTTGGCTCTGCAGTCTTCAACCTTCCTCTAGCATACTTCTCACCAGATCCAGATCCTCGATTCGCTATTCATACAACTTTGGCTACTTTAGTCGCATTCGCTGCATCTGACAGGGACGATTTCAGATAGGTAGGTTAGGTTGCTCGTTGTGGTTGCCCGGACCTCGATCTAGATCCAAGATAAACCAAAAGCATGGGTTGTGGTCGGCAGAATCATATATATCTGCTGGGGCTTGGGCTTGACTTCTTTCTTCATGAATGATTTTGGAGAAGCCTGCCTCGAGAGAGACATATGGCATATCTGACTGCCTGATTGGCGAGCAGCTGTCCTCATTCATAAGTCCAAAGAACTAGCAACCAAACTGGTGGCAAGCAGGAGAGTGACCAGGCCTGATACTGATTGAAACGTTTATTTAATTGGAAGCCGTTCAGATAGCCCTAATTAGTTTTAATTAGTTTAGTGAATGTTGAGTTGTCATATCTAGCTGCCATATATGTAAACATGCCCTAAAAGTAAAGGGATCATATTTCCTTTAGTAACCACTTTTACCCATCCGCTCTTCTCCTAACCGATTGGAGGAAGGGAAGCGAGACTCGACTGTTAAGGACCCAAAGGGGATCGACTGTTAAGGAGAGAGAGGGAAGCA